GGAATCGTTCTCTCAATCCTGCTGTTGTCACACCTTTCCTTGTTTGAAACATTATGGTAGAGACTAATGAAATAATAACGCAGAGGTTTGTAGTGTTGCAATCTTTGTATTTGGATGATTTTAGCCATGTTGTATAGTAGTAAGCTACTATATATAAATTTACTACATGATTTATCAACTTCATTGGTGGCACAAAGCATTACGTGTTGTACTAGCAACTGAAAAGTTAGCAGTTCTAATCCACTATCTACAGTTTGTTTCTATAACTATTCAGTCTTGCACACTCCACAAAGGGTCACTATGAGTTGGACTTACCTTAATGAGTAGATGTTGGTTTGGGTTTTGGAATATTATTCCAAAGACATTCCAGGTGGTGAAGATGGTTAATACACTTAGGGCAGTGAGTCAGAAGTTGGTAGTTCAAGTCTGCCCAGAGGCTTTTTTCCATAAGGGTTCAGTAATCTCCTTCTGAAAAATCGATCACTTAAAACCGTATGGGTCACAGCTCTCTTCTGTCACCAGGAATCATAAGTGACTTTAACTGAGTGGCTTTTAAAACTATTTTGTGAATTACTATATCTTAAGTTTTCAAATAATTGAGTGAAATCTTCCCTATGTAAAAATAAATATCAGCTGCAGGCAGGTGTTAATTTCAAAGAGAGTTAAAATTAGATAATTAGCTCCATAGAGGAAGCTTCCAGAATTAAGCTTTAAGGTCATCGAGGATAAAAAATGAGTTTCTGAAAACAGAGGTGTTAATGTGAGCTGGACAAATGCCTACAGTCTTCCTGAGCCCTGAATTTGTCTCTTCAGTGAGCAGGAAAGATGATAAATCGACCTCCTCTGAGACTATACATTTTTGTTTAAAGGAGGAGACAGTGGGGAACAGAGAGGAAGATGCCAAGATGCAGTTTTCCATGTCATCTTGTCAGAGGGGATGTGAACAATCAACTTTGTAATGTTATTTTAATTTCTTAACACAGCATTAGAAGTATGGCTATATGATACTCATATTAACGACACATTTGACAGCACTTTGAGACCATGGCATGTTTCCTTTTCCTCCTTCCCTCCACTCACTTCTATTTAATGCTCTTCTACACTCTACTGCTTAGTTCCAGCTCATAACAACGCTCCTTGAGTTCTCAAGGCTGTGCATACTTGAGAGAAGAGACAACGTTCTCTCTTGGAACGGCTGGTGGATTTGAACAAAGGAAACAGGGAATGCACTATGACCTCAGAGCTCCTTTCTAATATATCATCTAAGAACACTTCTCCATTTTTCAAAAAGTAAGCAATCTCAACTCTTCTTTTTCTGACAAGTTTGGGGAATTTGTGTGTGTGAGAAAGTGTGTGGGTGTGTGTGTTTAAATAACTATCACTAAAACATGTTGCCAAAGAAAGTTCGTTACCATTTAATTGAGGAGTTCCATCTTTTTTTCTCCCAAACAAATGCCCACAGTGCAGTGACTTTTGAACAGAACACCTCATAAATAATGCATAACCTCAGCAATTAATTTCTTCCTTTGGTAATAATAGAACAGGACCCAAGGGGGGGTCAAGGCAGAACAGAAATCTAATTATTATCTGGGATTAATTGATTTTCTTCTTTAATTTTTTCCATACTAATGCTAATACATGAGGAAGTAAATTGCTTAAAAGTGTTCCTAGAGGTTAAATTAATAATAATATAAAAATAATGATTATAATAATAATACAAAAGCAAAAAACATATTGTGTTTGCTAAATGTTTAGCCCAAGTCTACATTATCATATTCACAATTTTGTTTCATTCTAACAGTAATCCTATAAGTTTTGCACTCTTTACATCTATAAGGCACAACCTTCTGAGAGAAGGTTGTGAAAATTTTGCCCAAAGTTACACAGAAGTATAATGTCAGTGAGGGGAAAGTAATTAAAAATGAACTTCTTAGACACTTATTCTCTAGCACACAAATTAGGCAACATCATGGAAATATTTGCCATTTCAATACCACACATCACTGCTCTCTTTTCTAGAGGAAATGTCCTCTGGATTTGTACTTCCACGTATTCATACAAATAGTGTTGTTTCCTATATAACCTTATTTTGACTGAATGCAATGGCTTAGCAATGGGGAAAGCAACCCGAACAAATCCTGCACTCAAATCCACTGTCTTCAATTGATGTTGACAGATGAAACCATCCTGCGTCAGGTTTCCAAGGCTCTAAACTGTAAGGCGAGGGGGCTCCCTTCTCTTTCTCTCAAAAAAAGCAGCAAGCGGTTTCCAACCTCTGGGCTTTCAGTTAATCCAAAAGGCTCCACCATCCCACTGCCTCTAACTTGGTGCTGACCCATAGTGTCCCTCCATCATGTTCAAGGCTGCTGTCCATCACTGAGGAGGAGAATACTGACCTTTCTCTCTGACATCCAGTAGATTCGAACCCTACATCTTTAGGCGTGCACTGACAACCCACTGCACTGCCAGGACTCCTTCAGTAAAAGCACACTGTACTTTCAATGTTAAAATTATGGAACAGAATGAAACATTGCTGCATAGTCATTTTACTATCCTCTTAGATGGCATAGGGGCTTTGTGAAGACGGGGCAGGACCAGACTGGTTTTGTCCTGTGTATGTGGACCACAGGGAGTCAGAACCAATTGTATCTAATAAGAATGACACAGATTATGTTTACTTTTCTGAATTTTACTCAGGATTTACATCAGAACAATGAGCTTAAACTTCTTCTTATGGATGCTCTGAAATGCTAATATCATGATATCTAGTTTCTTGATTAGGTTGCAACATTAAGAGTGCTATTGGAATCATAGATTGTGTAGATTTTGGATATATTTGCATCAATTGTCTGATCCCCTCTGTGCCTGAATTCCAGGCCGTTTCTCTAGTTGTTTTGGCTGCCTTAAAGATGTCACTGTCCTATATATTAGAAATTTAAAGCCAACAGCCAATGGAAATGAATATTCCTCGCCCCACTCGTACTCTTTGCTCTCCTCTCACAGTTTTCCGGGTTACAGGTGGGAACACACAGGTGAGGGACAGGGTAACTGGCTGTGGCTGTCATCAGGTAAAGGCCTGTGCTGTCCCTGTGACGAAGCATGGCTATTCAGAGTCACACCTCAGGGACTGGAGGTCTCAGCTTTTCCTCAGCCTGTGTGACATAGTCTCTGGTGAATGCTTTCCTCTCCCTCAAATCAAATCAAAGATGTGGTAAAGGACGGAACTGTGCAATTCACGGTGGTAAGTAAGCCTAGGGAAGACTGAGGAACCCACTTGCCTACAAATATAACCACACATTCAATGCCAAAACCAGATTTTGGCATGTTATACTAGTGTACACTTTTTTTATCTTGTTCTTCCAAGTTGGAAAGTTCTGATAAGGCTTACATCCAGAAGGATTGTTTACTCTTTTGTTTATCATCATTTCCAGTTCTTCATTAAAATGCAGCATTATCATACATAGCCAATTTGATTCAACTCAGCGCCACATACCGTTCATCAGAAATGAGCATTTAAACTCATTTTAAGAATATTTTCTGCACTACATTCTTTAGATCAAACTATGAATTTTTTAATCCCACCATGAGTTGGGTAGAAAAAAGATCTTTCCTTAGAAGGTGGATCAAAATTAAAGTGTTTTATTATTTTATTATCTAATGTTACCATAAAGCTTTATGTCCAGCAGTTTAGCATAATGTTGCAATAAAACTTACTATTGCACCTAATTTTATATTCCATAATAAAAAAATGACACCACAGGATCAGTCATGTTCTAAACTGTTAATGAAAATGGAAATGCTGAGAATCACATCATGTTTTATTTTATGCATAGTAAAAGACAGTGCAATTGATCATAATATTTAAGATGAATATTAATTGACGCTCCAATCTAACACTCCATTAATGTATCTTTTTTCATTTTCAGTCTCACTAAAATTTACTTAGCAATTTTACACAAGTTTTGTCCAGTTTAAATTTAATAACGAACAAATGTTGACATGTATTTCGCTATTGTGCTTTGATATAATATGAAATTATTTGAGGTTGTAAATAAAAAGTCCCTGAAAATATTTTTAAGCCTATTTTCCCATTTCCATTTTATACAAAGCTGTCATATTAAAAGCAATACCCATGCGTGCTGTAGGGTTTTCATGGATTTTACTATGAACTTTTCCAATTTGATTCAGCTATACAGTATCAAACTGGAATGTAACAAAACACATCAAACTCTCTCAGGAGTTACTTTATTCATAGAAAATAATTTTTAAAAAATGTTTTAAGTAATCACCTACATTCTTCTAGGTTTTCAACATTTTCTTTGTCACGCAAATTTTCTTTGTACACAGATATTTTAATTGTACTCTTTAAGTTTTTTAAAAAAGGAGGGGCGGGGAGAAGGGTGCAACAATGAATGAATGGAATCCCAAAATCTCTGTAGATGTTCATTGAAATGAAAAATAAACAACCTAAATTTAAAAAAAAAAAAGGAGGGGCAAGATATAACATTAACCTCAAAACCTCTAAGGCGAAGGATTGAATCGTATTGACAGTAAGCTGGCAGGGAGCTTCAGAGATGTGCTGTACCATCCCAGCTAATGCTCCTCCCCAGACCTCCTGGTTATAGCATCACTTCCAAACTTGGTACCACTAGCATCCTACCTAGAGCTGCACCAGATGGTGGAATAGTTATTGCAACAACATCAGCATGCATTACATAGCCAGCTTCTTACTCTTTCTTTCCTTTTCTTCTTCCCTCCCTTGCTCCCTTCCTATTTTTCACCAATGACCAGCCGATCAATATACAACCAGGAATGTTAGGAATACTATTACTGTCATCGATAAATGCTGTCAAGTAGAGTAGGACTCAGCGACTCTGTGAATGAACAACAAATTTGAACTTGTCCTATCATTTACCATCCTCACTGTAGTTTACCTCTTCACCAAGAATTCCTCAACTCCCCAAATACACATCAACATCTTTTACATTTTAACAATAAAATTAGCATCCTCCTTTATTTGACTGCATCGCAGAACCAAACATGCAAGCTAATCTCTTAAAGCGAGGTCCCAAGTCGTTCAGGTAGTCATAGTTTTCGTCCTGATCAGAGATTTCTGACCCCAGGGAGCTCAGTGATGCCGCCAATGACCCTGTTCCTTCGAAGGCATAGGTCTGCAGGGAGTCAAAAGGAGGGGCTGTGGGGTCGCTGTTGGCTTCATCCAGTTTTTCTAGAATAAATTTCCTGAATATGGCGCTGTCGGGGCCCACCTGCAGCGACTGCCTGTACAGGCTGGGGATGTCCGAGGGGATGTGTTTCCGTGTCCTCTTCTCCCTCCTGAAGGTGGTAGGTCTCAGCTCCGCAATGTCATAGGCCTCAGTGTCTGCCTCGCCGCCCCCTTCGTCGTCATATGTGAATATGTTCTCCCCAAAGTCCTCACTTTTCTCAGGAAACAGAGTCTCCTTTCTTTTCTGCTTGAGACTCAGGATCAAAAAGATAAACCCTGGCAAAGAAAGCATAACAGGACATTGAACCCGACATCTCGTTTCTTTTCATATGGTGTTAAAATTGACTAGCCACACACAGGACACCAAGCCGCCACTCCAGGTTTAGGTGGAGATTCTCAGGACGGTAGGATAGAGACAGGTTTCGATCAGTTGTTCATGAGTCGTACTTTAACTCCATGGCACCTTACAAAACCACCACCACCCCATGGGGCTGCGATCTGAACAAGAGTTCCTGCAGTGAGCCTGGTGCCTCTGCATTCCACTCTGTCATTTAGCAGACAACCACTTCCCCCTGCATCAGCAGAGTCATGACACAGACATGGGCACAATACATAATTTTATAATAGAAACTGAAAGATACATGGCATTGGGAAATTCTTCAGTCAAGGAACTTTCAAAAGTACTGAAGAGCAAGGATGTCAGCTTAGAGACTGAGGTGCATGTGAGATCAGCCATAGTATTTTTAGTAACTCGCTATGGGTCTGAGAGTTGGACAAAAAACACTACAGAAGAAAGACTGATGCCTTTGAGTTGTGGTGCTGGAGAAGGGCACTAATTATCTCGTGGACTGCCAAGAAAATGAGCAAATAGGTCTAAGGGAGAATGCAGCCAGAATGCTCCTTAGAGGAAAAGCTGGTGAAGCTTCCTCTCACATATGATGGGCATGTTTTTAGCCTGGATGGTGTAGTTTGGGCTGGTAATCAAAAGGGTGGCAATTTGAATCTACCAGACAGTCTAAAGGACAAAGACGAGAAGGCTAATCCCATAAAGATTTACAGCCTCCCAAGCCTGGTAGAGGGTGGCTGTGAGCCAGAACTAACTCCGGGGCACTGAGGGCTGCTGTTGTTTCTTCGGATGCTGACCTTGACTTTCCTTCTTCAACTCCTTGCAATGATTCATAGGGCTATTGTTGACGTGGACGCTCACTGCATCATTGGCTGTTCATAAAGAATCACTCTTTTAGTGCAATTTCCCTGTTTATATAGCTCAGGTGATGATACTAGCTGTTACTTCATAAATTTACAGCTGGAATCAAATTGCACAATGTATAGAGAGCACCTAAGACAGGCTCTAAAAGTGGAATGAGCACCCAACAGAAGCCAGTCATACAATTCTTAATACGTATATTTACTGTGGATGTGAATGTAGTCATGCACATGCCTTTTCCATTCAGGCATCTTTGAATTTCAGCTTGTGATGATGCATGTTTATCACTTCTGTTTTTTTGTGTTTTTTTTTTTAAATTTAAGTCTGTTTGGTTCAAAAAGTATAATATATTGAGAAGAGCAATTAAGCACACAAATAATAGAACTCCTTTGAAATGATGCATGCATCACGCTGTTTTTTGAACAAATGAGAAGCGGTTCCACGCAGCAATGCTTACCAAATATTGTCATGACGCAGATTAGAACAGCTACGATGATTTCTATCCGGAATCCCAGGGCAAATAGATGCTTTTTGTTGCTGCAGGTCCGAGAATGTCCACGGTCATCACAGTTGCAGACATACACGGTAAGGGTGTTTGTGCTCGTCAGTGGTGGGACTCCGTTGTCAGCAATTAAGATGGGCAGGTAGAAGACAGGTTCTTCTTGAAGGCTGAATCCAGTTCTGTTCGTCAAAATGTCAGCTGTGTTGTCTGAAACATAAATAAATGTACGTAAAACTTATTTTTAATAGAATAAAAGAATTTCATGCAAGCCATACACAGGGGTAATCACAGCTCAGAGAACCACACGCGGGGTAATTATGTGGAGATCTGAGCAAATAAAATCCAACAAGGGAAAAGGGACTTTTCATGACAGATCCACTAAAAAGATCTTTATTGTGTTTGACATCACCTAAGCTCTAATTATGTAAGTTGATTGATTATTTAAGTCATTTTTAGAAATAATATTTGTGGAACACAGAAAACAAAGCTTTTACATATCAACAGGAAAGTTGTAGAAACTGAAGCTAGCTTTAGAAGTAGCTATGGGATGAAACCAGGCTGCTCTTTGGAGGCAAGGATTCTGAAGCTCCGTCTGACATACTTTACACATGTTGCAAGGAGGGACCAGTCCTTGGAGAGGGACATCATGCTTGGGAGGGTGGAAGAATAGTGCAAGAGAGGAAGACCCTGGATGAGACTGATTGACTCGTGACTGGGGTAATGGGGGTAGGTGTGTCAGACAATAATGTGTGTCAGACAATGGCCCAGGATAGAGCAGGGTTCAAAGCTGTTGTAAATAGGGTAGCTATGAGTCACAAGCTACTCAATGGCACATAACAACAACAACAATGGCATGAAAAATGTCAGTGCTGACAACATATGGACCTTGGCTGAAAGTAGAGACACTAGAAAGATGTTTACTTACGTTTGACTATGGACAGGCATTCCATTGTGTGGCTCATAACAAGTTACAGCTAACAATGTGAATCCCCCACATTTCCTTATGCCCATGCTAAACTAAAAAAAAACTATATCAGAACAGAACAGAACAGGGGATTTTAAACATTAGGAAACATGTATGTCAGGGTTGTATCATTTTTTAATATCTATTTAATTGTATGATAAACACATCATTCCAGCAGCTGGACTAGATGAAAAAAAGTGACATCAGAGTTGGAGGAAGATTCATCCAAAGTCTTTGTTATGTAGGACACAACCTCACTTGCTGAAAGTGAAGAAGACTTGAAGCACTTGCTGCAGAAGATCAAAGATTGTAAATTTTCAAAATTTACATATCAAGGAAAAAACAACAATAGCACTGGACAAATATACACCGCCATGTTGGAGAATTGTCTACATTTTCAACAATTTTTTTTTCTTGGATCCATAATCAACACCCATAATAATATCAGTCAAGAAATAAAAAGACCCAGTGCATTGGGAAAATCTACTCTTAAGGACCTCTCCAAAGTGCTAGAGAACAAGGAGGAGGTCAATTTAAAGGCAAAGGTGCCATAGCCAAGCCATGCTCTTTTCAATTGCTTTCTATGCATTTTAAAGTGGAAAAATAAATGAGAATGGAAGAAGAATCAATGTCACTGAATTGTGGTGTTAGAGAAGGGGGACTAAATATCCCATGGACTGCCAAAAGAACACACAAGGAATTACACTCAGGATTCTCCATAGAGGCAAGAGTGGTGAAATATTGTTTCACATGCTGTGGGTATCGATAGAGGCCAGTCCTTGGGAAGAGACAGCATGCTGAGAAAGGTGGATGGTCCAAAAGAGAGAGGCAAACCCTCCACAAGATAGAATTACATGGTGACTAGAGCAATGGGCTGGAGAGGATTGGAGATGGTGACAGTGCTACAGAGGAGGACAAGTTTCAGAGTGACTGTGCTCGGGTCACTGAGTTGTAGTCAACTTGATGGTACCGAACAACAACAAATTGACAAAGAATATTGAATATAGCACATAATAATAATATTAATAAAATACCCAACAAAACAAACTAAACTGTTTTAGAAGAAGTACAGCCAGAAGATTCTTTAGGACCAAGAATAGTGAGACTTTGCCTGAATTTTGAACATGTTATCAGGAGAGGCCTCTCCCTAGAGAAGGACGCCATTCTTGGGAAAATAAAGAATTAAAAAGGAAGACTTAACTAGATGGATTGGCACAGAGGCTCCATTAATAAACCCAAACTTAGTAATGTATTTGAGGTTGGCTCAGGACTAGGTAGTGGTTCAATTTGAACACAGGGTTGCTATGAGTCACTAGCAACTCAATGATACATAACAAAGAAAATCAATTTTATGTGTATAATTCCAGCATCAGTATCATTTGAATATAATGATACATAGTGCTTTATTTAAAAAAAAATAAAGCCAGAACCCATTGTTTCCCAAATACTGCAAATAAATGTAAAGGTGTTTTGTTTTTGTTCTATCAGCAAATTATTTTAAATAGTCTATGTACTAACGAAACAGAAAAAGCTTATTTAATCAAAAAGTTTTGTTTCACTTCACTTTGATACTATTAACTAACTTTCTAGGGGGGGAAAGCAGAAAATACATAAACTTTTCTCATACTGATTCATTCATCTGTATAGGACAATAAACAAAACATTAGAAAAATTGGACAATATAGCCTTCAAACACATTTGAAATGATTCCTCTTTTTAATAATTCTGTTCACTGCAATTTCTGGCATCTCAAACCTCTTCAGGATTTTCCTTTGTGTCCTGATTACCAAACCAACCCACAAAACCATTTTCTGTTGTTATCTGATACGCTTTAGAAGACGAATGCCGTAAAAACCAAGACACGGCAATCTTCTGAAATGTATGTTTATTTACGACTTCTCTTATGTCATCATCTTTCTTTAAAGCATTTCTCCATTGTTCCCTGGGAGACTATAAAACTCTTGTGATTTTATTTACTATGGAAGTTTAAGAGTTGAGAAAAAGTTTACATTTATTTTCTGCGATGCATGTGTAACTAAATTACTTCTAATCACCGTATTATGCCCAATAAGTTTTCTTTTTCTGTTTCAATGCTATTTTCTTCATCGTTTCAATTTTTATTTCAGTTACTGATTTTTTTATTAAGATAGACAAATCTAAGCTACAGCTATTGTACATACTTATGAATCCTAAGTGTATATGAGTTTCCTTCACAAGAAAATTTGATAAGGGAAGAAAAAGATAAGCTCATTTATGATAACTGTCCACAAAAGATTCTCTTGGATTAAAGCTTCAATTAAATTAAGGAAGGACAAGTGAATAGTATTTTATTATGAATGTCTGTGCAATAAGTCCTGTAGTTTTATGTTTGAAATATTAAAAAAATAAGCAAAATATCCATATGAAGATTTTAAAAAAACATGGAGAGGAAGACCCTCGGTGAGACGGATTGATTCAGTGACTGGGGTAATGTGGGTATGTGTATCAGAGACAATTAGATTGGCACAGGATAGAACAGGGTTTAGGGCTGTTATACATAGGGTTTCTATGAGTTGCAGGTGACTCAATGGCACAAAACAACAACAACATTCTGAAGCTTTGGGAAACAAATAAACAGACAGACTTAGTGCAAAGTTAGTATATTCGCACATGGAAAAGAAAGAAATTCTGTCTTTCCATGCAAAATTCATAAAATTTTTTTCTTCTCTAAAACAAAGCAAAAATGAATACCCATAAACTCATTGCTGATGAGTCAGTGCTGACTCATAGAGGTTCTAAGGTTCATTTCTTCAAGACTCCATGATATTTCTTCAACCATTAATACAGTATTTTCCAAGATATGAAGGAAAGAAAAACCTTCAGATTAGTTTCAGATACCTTTGATTATTCAAAACGAACATGATTGGTATTTGTAGATATCTCCTGTCTTCCCTATTTATGAAGTTTCATTGACTTGAGATTTATGTTGTGGTTTCTATTAATTACCAAGGTCACTGAGATTTTGTAGAGGCAAAGAGTCCTTGATGACTAAATACAGTTCTGATTTGTAGAAAGGAGGTGTCTTTTCAGGACTTAAATTCTGATCTCTTCCTATACATTATCTTATTATGAGAACAGTACAAAAACTAGTGTTCTAACATCCATTTAAAACCTGAATTCCGAAAGAACAGTTATTCATACATGACATTACCTTTTTTATCTATGATTGTAAAACTTGAGTTCGTCGTGTCTTCTCCAGTGAGATTAAAGTAGAAATAGTGCTTTTCTATGGATTCATCTCTGTCCACTGCGCTGATGGTCTGAACTGTCTAGAAAAGAGAAAGATGAATCATATTTGGGACCTTTTTCTCATTATCTTTATGGGACATAAGAAATTACATACATCATTTCCGTGTGTGTGTGTTTTTCTGAGGATAACTTTCAAATTTGCTTTTGTCAAGTTAAAAATATATTAGCATAGACCATTTCAAGATGTATTATGGTATTACATGATATAGAATAAGTTTTTCAAATTTTAAATTCTATTTGAGTGAAACTTTATAACCCATATTGAATGTTCATTGACTCTTTCATGGACATTTTGTTTGACAACATTAATTTTAGTTTATCGTTAAATATGTCATTGTTATATCACAATGTCTATATTATATATTACCTTTCTCCTACATCCATATGATCTATTTATTAATGTTTACATTCTTGTTACTGGTAAAATGGGTTCCCTACACAAACTTTTTTAGGAATTTTTAAAGTGTAGTTGCATTTTTTCAGATTGCACCCCTTTCAATTTCTCTCTGTGCTTTTTATTTCCATTCTTTTTTTCCTCATCCTTCTTTCTGTATGGTTTGCTGATGTTATATGTTCTCTTACTTATATAGAGAACATAACTACAGTGGAATTAATGACTTAGAAAAAAATTGTGAAAGTAATGAGCTTTTCCATGAATTTGAAAGAATATTGCATTAAAGCTGAAGGATATAATACATTATTTCTTTTGACCCATAAAGACTAGGAGGAAAGTATGTCATATCAAATAATTTCTTCTTGATTTCTAAGATCATAAGGAAATGAAGTAATACAGATATGAACAAATTAGTTCTCCGTTAATGACTTTCTTTCAAGATTTGAGTATACCACTGAAGTAGTTTATTGTTGTCAAAAGAAAGGGCTACGCTGTCAAGATCACATAGTGCACTTGTGCTTAATTCTGTAAATGAAATTGATTGTTGACGTTACATTTTGAATTTTCAAGGCTTAAGGAACTTTTAACAAGGTGCCAAACAAAAAAAATTATAACAGACAAATTTATGCTGTAATTTAAAAAGAACCAAACAGCCTACCAGTTATCTGTCCATATGAATCAATAGTCGTGTGAAATGAATGTGATCTGTACAAATTCCACACAGTGATTTATCTTTTCTGCGTTACCCATTGCTAATCAATGCACCGTTAATTAGTTAATCTAATAAAAGGAACATGCTTTCATTCAGCCCATTCTTATAGTAACACATGTGCATTTTGTGTCTTAGTGTGCTCATTTTCAGAAGATTTTGTACAGACCAATTGATTGGATTAGCAGTATTTTACCAAAATACTGTTTTTCATTGTTTTTTGTCAAACATTCTTCTAGGTCATATAGTCCTGGTGTGTCCACTTGCTGTACAGAGGTAACTTGTGGTTGCTGTGAAGCTGAACACTGTGACACCGACGTGTCATATGTGATAATGGTCACCCATGGTGGACAGTGTTGGGTGGAACTCCCCGATTAAAACAAGCCTGGAAGCAGGAGTGGCTTCCACTTCTGTAATAGCCTGCCTCAGAAAACCCTATGAACCTGGAGGAAGGATGAAAGTCACGCAAGTGTCGAGGATTTTCATTCATAGGGTCGCTATGAGTCGCCTACGACTCGACAGCACTTTATAACAAGAACATCAGTATCTATGAGCTGCTCTGAGGAAGAAAGACAGGCGGTCTCCTCCTGTGTGTTTCACTCCCTCTGAAAACCCACTGGAGGGTCAGCTATGAATTGGTGCTGACTCCATGGTACACAACAACAATACACTGTATTATAAACTAGAGATCAGGATACAGATATTGAGAATTATTGATATAAAAGATTCATTATTGATGGATGATGTTGTTGTTGTTGTTGTTAGGTGCTATCAAGTCAAGTGAAACTCATGACAATTTTATGAACAATAGATATGATCCCTTTACTAAGCTGCTCCCTTCTCATCGTCTCAACATATGTGAGCCCACTGCGGTGGTCACTGGACCAGCACATCGCACTGAGGGTCTTCCTCTCTTTGCTGACCCTCCACTGTTCCAAGCATGATATTCCTTTCCAAAGAATAGCCCAAAATAAGTGAGAAGAAACGTTGTCATTCTTGCTTTTAAGTAAAGTAATGAGATGAAATGTTGTCATTTTGCTGGCCACACTTTCTCCAAGACATAGCTGTTTGTTCTTTTGGCAGTCCATATTCAGTACTCTTCAGTACTCTTAATATTTAGAGTGATTTTCAGTATTCTTCTCTAACACCACAACCCAAAGGCATCAATTCTTCCACTGTTATCTTTAATCGTTGTCCAGCACTCATATGCACAGCAAGTGATTGAAAAGACCATGGTCTGAATCAGGCTCACCTTAGTCTTCAAACTGATTTTATTGCTCCTCAGTAATTTGGAGACGTTCCTGGCAGGCAGTAGACTTCCCTAATGTAATAGGTCTCCTAATCTCTGGACTGCAAGTAACGAGGTTGTTGATGGTGGATTGAAATAAGATTAAATAGTTGATGATTTTAGTCTTTTCTCCTATCATGATATTGCCTATTGGTATTTTTACCTTGTTGATAATTGAGCTGTAATCCACATTGAATCCATTTTTTATTTTCTTCAGCAACTGTTTCAAGCCCACGTAATTTTCAGCAAGTAAGGTATGCTGTTGTTGATTGTTGTCGAATCGAGCATGACTCTATGAACAAAAGACCTAAAGCATTTTCATAACTACTGTAGTTTCTCCAAGTTCATAGAGTTTCCAAAGGCATTTGGTTTAGGAAATGGATGCCACTTCTACTTCCAAACCTGAATCAATCTAGAAGCTCCTACAAGCATTGTACATGATAGATAAGCATTATGGTATTTGACACGACTATGGCACGGTGTTCAGTATCACAGCAACCCCAAGTTATTCAGTATAGCAAAGAGATTGCTGTATCAGTTAAAGAATATTCATTCTAAAATTAATAAATTTGATCCAACAGCCATAGGCCCAAGCAGGATTCCAACCTTGGTCAAAAGTTCAATTGATCCCAAAAACTTCCCTTATGTGACCACCATCAAAACGTAACTGACATCAAGACACTGGAAGTCAACTCTAGAGTGGAAGTCCCAGGCTTTTCATAGTCTATTTAATTTTTTAGCTTTTTAATTATGTGTAAAAGGCATTCAGGCATACCTGAGATTGTGGGTCCAGTTTCAAATTACCAGAGTAAAGCAAATCACACAACTTTGCTTCTCAGCACATATAAATGTGATGTTTACACTATCCAGTAGTTCATTAAACATGTAACAACAGTCTTATGAAAAATCTGAAATATTGCTGAGAGTTACTAAAATGTGACAAGAGATAGACGTGTGGGGAAAATGATGCCAACAGATTTGCTTGACACCAGGTAGCCACATTCCTTCAATTTGTAAAAAAAAAGCAACGGTAAAGGCAAAAAAAGAAAAAAAAAAAAAAGCAACCCACAATTATTTTACCCCAGCAACAATAGCCAAGCTCAACAGGGCAGCAAACAACAAATGCTAGTGAGGTCGTGGAGAGATCAGAACCCTAAATCACTGCTGGTGGGAGTGTAAAATAGTTCAACCACTGTGGAAGGTAGTTTGGCACTTTCTCAAAAAGGGAAGTAGAAATACAAGTTGACCTAGTAATGGCACTGTTGAGATTATAGCCTAAAGAAACCAGAACTCATGTCCAAACAGAAGTATGCACACCCACGTGTATTGCTGTACTATTCACAATAGCAAAGAGATGGAAACAATCCAAGTGCTCATCAAAAAATGAATGAGTAGAAAACCTATGGTATATTTACACAAAGAAATACTATGCTGCACCAAAAAATAATGAACCCATAAAACATTACACAACATGGATGACCCTGGAGGACATTATGCAGAGTGGGATATCTCAGTCTACAGATATGTTGTCTATTTAATAAATAATGTTCCTGATAACACTATTTCCAATGGAACTTCTTCCATATTCTTTTGGCCATTATATTTGCTCTATAATTGAGTATATAAATGGTCTGAATGACAATAAGATTAGCTCAGAAAGTTATGAAAAGCAACTAGGACATATACATGCATGCTTTATGTGAGATCAGAAGCAGTTTGATTTTATAAGAAGGTCTCTCAATACATGTGTGTGAGGAATCCCCAGAATGGATGTTACATCTCAGGTAGAATAGTAAGGGTGAAGGCAGAGTGAGCATACTAATAACATATTTAGATAGAATCAACAAGATTTAATGAAAGACTAGTTGTTGATGTTCTTAGATGTTGTTTTACCAATTTCAACTCATAGAAGGAGAGAGGAGAATGATACCAAAGAATTTTCTAGAATGTAATCTGCACTAGAGCAGAATTCCAGGTCTTTCTCCAGTGGGAGCCACTGCAGTTCAAATAATCTGCCTTTCCTTTATTAGCTTAATGCTTAACAATTGCATCACTAAAGATTCTGATTCATTGACTATAGAGGGTAAGAGATGTAGAATGAACAGAGATGATGTCCACATATCTTTCTTACACAACTTGTTAAATTATACGGACTTTTGCTAGAAATGCTGATAGAAGAGGAAACAGAAGGATTTTGATAAAACCATTGAGAATTTGAAGGTAAATAATGTCTTGGAGAAGGGACAGCCAGAGTAGTCCTTGGAGGCAAAGATGATAAAGCGTGGCTAACATACTGAGCATGTTGCCAGAGGAGCTTATTCTTTGGAAGGGATAGCATGCTTGGAAAGGCTGGTGAGAGACAGGGGGAACCATAACCCAATGGATTGACACAGTGACCGCAGCAATTAGCTCAAATATGTCAGAGATTGTGAGGATGGCACAGGGCAGGACAGGGTTCAGATCTGTAACTGATAAGTTGCGATGAGTTACACTTAATTCCGTGACTCCTACCAAAAATCAGGCATTTCTACAACTTAAAATATAATAGAACAAGTTGAGCAGAAATAATTGTCTTAGAGTCATTTGCTTGTGAACTGTAACTGAAACATATGGGTGGATAAGAAGTCAG